ATTCTGTCTCTCAGAGTGGGAATGCACCTACAATGTGAATTTCAGACCCCTCCATGATTTCTAAGTGGGAGAACTTGAAAAATCGCAGGGTGTTCAAATACTTCTGTTCCTCACTGTACGCCTACATTGACTGCAGCAGTTGTAGTGGCCATTTTTTAAAAACTGTTAGCCATGTAAACAGTAGTGCTCAATAGCCATCACCAGCAGCATGGGGAGCTACAGTCTGACAATGGAAGCCTCTGCAGAGGGCTAGTGGCTCCTTGTACAAATAACATTTCCAACAAATAAAGAAAATACTTTGTGGTAATGTATCGTTGTCATGGGTTAACTTTTGTGAGCTTGTTGGCTAATCGCTAACAGTTGGCCGGCTTCATGTTATGTGACTTCCAAGTTCCAACGGGCACATGAAGGTGTGTAACTGTTCAGGGAGCTCCCCAGTGGGGTAGTGCTTAGGACTGAACCAACCTGAAATAGGAGAGTGTGTTGTCTATTCCAATGAAGGAATACATGATAATGACAATACACTATAAAGCTACGTGACTATGACATACTGTTATGTATGACAGTTCAGGGATTCTACTACCTGAAGAGGTGGGTTTAATTGTTTCTGGTAAGGAAACTATGGAGTGTCCCATGAGATGTTATAATGGATGGATAGTATGTGTAGCTGCATGAGGTAAAGGATGTTAGGACAACTGTGCGGTCTGTAGGTCTAAGCAGGGGTCCATCATGCAGGTCACCAGCTGGTATGAAACTCAGTGGTGTGTCAGAGCTTTAGCAGGCCTCAGGTCAGTCAGTTCTTGTTCTGATCTGGCTAGTGGAGGCAGCATTTAATGTGATTGTTTTGCAAACACTGCAAATTGTGGAGGTAGTGTGGTGAGACCACATTGGTCAGATGGTGATTTTGGGGTTACCAACTGCCATATGTGGAGGGAAGGGTGACCTGCAGTTGGGCTTGCACAGGAAAGGAGTAAGAGAGATTCTGGGTGTGTGCCATCATCCAGTTCAGTGTTGGGTGGCCTGGTTTGCTAAGATGACTCGGGATCAAAACAGCACAGTAGTGATGGGTAGATGAGGCGTCATGAAGCGTTTCGACACATTGCCAAACTGTATTGCTACTGTGTCACTCAATAGTGACACCTGCTGGACCTTAAAAATCCCTACAGGCAACCTAGTTGACAGACTCAACTGACACTGATTTGATGACCTAGTATATACAATAATATAATTTAAGTCATTGTATTAAATTGTATTATTTCATATCTTCATTTAAATTTAAAAGTTCCTTGATATTTTTAGATACAGTCAATAAATAATGTGAACATGTATCATAACGTGAAAATCTAAATGAACGTGTTTTTTTTGATACAACTTCTCCAGCTGTAGAAAACACCCACTCACACGGCACAGATGAGGCTGGAGTGCAGAGAAATTGTAAGGCAAGTCGGAAGAGGTTTGGATAGATTGCCTTTTGGTTGTCCCAGTATCTCATGGGATCCTGGGACCTGGCAATACCTTATACCTTATTTTCCGATATGAGATCAAAATGGTCCCACACGGCGGAAACCTTTCTTTTGGCTTGAGGCTGCTCCATAATTCTTGATGAATGTGACGATGAACCGCAATAGCTCAGAGATTCGTTTTGGCAGATGCATCCCGTTGACATATGTGCTTCCTTATAAACACAGTTTGGCGCAGCAGTGTCAGTTCGAAACAGTTCCTGTATCGGTCACGTGACTTTCTTAAAGCGATACACGCACCGACACGGGGTTTTGCTCTATGAGCTCGACGCATGTGGCGACGCATCGGTGTTGCCGGACCCATCACTACAGCACAGGCATGGGAAGTTGCATTAAGTATTATCGGTTTCCCTCCTCCATCCACAATGCTTCAGTTCAGGAGATAATGCAGCCGTGTTGGTGGACGTGAAGAAGTGTGAAAATGTAACAGCAGCAGCATAAGGAGGCCTTAATATTTGAGCCGTGGACAAAAAAGTTTTCCCAAAGCAGCCATTATTTGTGGTGTTAAATGACAGCAGATATGACCGGTTTAGCACAGTAGATGTACAAGGTATCATCAGTTGCAGTCGCTGCTATTTAAAACATCAGAGGTGTTGCTCAAACACAACATGATTAGGACAAAGTTGTGCATTGTGTACAATGCGGTATTGATAATGGGCATGGATTCAGATTCATATGAACAGTATAAGACATTTACAGAAGGAGAAAAACTGCAGTGGTGGGTCATAAAAATAATGTGATCCGACGATGGCTCTCCTTCACTCCCAGGCCGTTTTCCCCCTTTTACACAGATGTTGAGCTGGCACAGGCACAGCAGCTTTACCAACTCCACTGCCGGCATAATGGAGAGTTCAAAAGTGCCCTGCTGCTGTCCTGGGTTCATACCTATCTATGCCTTCACACCAGTGATGGCTGTGGTTGGAGGCATTATTTTTTGGGGTTGTTTGCCCGTATGCACATTGGGCCTGTTCTCGTGAATGCGATATCTCAGGAAGAGATTGAGGACATTTCTTCAAGTTTGGCACAAATGTCCATTTGGATTCAAGGATGAACTGATGAGGTTTTGATAGTCAAAGGCAGGGGTGTGATGAGATCTCGTGCCATGAGATCTTATGATATTAAAACGTGATGATATTTCTCTTCGAGATGAAAGCTGTCTCATGATACAAGTACTTAACAGAGCAAGAGCAGCAGCTGGCATGACAGAGTGTGAGAGTGGAATTAACATAGAAGATGCCCTGTCACTTTTTTATGTTCAGGTTGTTAAAAGCCATTCATTTAGGTCACACATCACTGTTTCCCATACATTGAATTATTTGTCATGGAGTGCTGTGCATAGTACATGTGTTCGCTCAGTCCCTGCATGCCCCGCTCTTTCTCTCTCAAATACGACAGCCATCACAACAGATCATCTCTGAACAGCTCCTCCTCTCCGTGTTTTTTTTTTTTTTTTAACACAATACTGTCATTCGCAAATATCCAGCTCTTATATTTCATTATCAAGGATATCTAAGCTAACGTTAGAGTACAGCAGCTGCCAAGGTCAGCACGCCGTCTGTACCAAGTGGATAAAGTTAAACTGTTAAATGTTTGCCCACTCAGTCCAGCCAGGGCAGTATTGAAGAACACATGGGAAAGATGATCAGTGCGATTAGTGATCCAGTTGGTGCATTTCGAATACTTATTGGTTTCAACCAGTGCTGCTGCTTTTACAGTGCTTGTATACCGTTGTCTTTTACTGCATATGATAATTCCTACTCAGAAAGTAGAACTAAAGTGACATTCAGTACAAGATGATTAGTTAACATTTCAAAATGCACCTGCATTGTTTGGCATTTTGTGACTTTCAGTTAAATAAACAACTATTTTCCAGTCATATTTTATTATTGGAGATTTCTTAAATATTATGTTAAAATATCATTTTGTCTTGTCCTTGTGAACCCAATATCATGTATCGTCTCGTCTTGTGAACTAAATGTATCGTCACACCCCTAGTCAAAAGTCAAGGTCAGTGCCTGACCTCATGTCTGTCCCATTGTTGTGAGTTTGACTGGTTGGCGTAGGTGAAGTTATATTGCATGTCCTTGATCAGGCAGTGTAACGAGGGCTCATGTCTCCAGTACTAACATAATGTTACTTTATTATTGGGGGTGGGTGGCTTAGTGTGCGAGCCTGTAGGAGGCAGAATGGTTATGCTGCGATTTCTGGAGTGACAGCTGCAGCATTTGAATCTTTAATGTTTAGGTTAATGTAACCATGTAGGGTGAACCAGCCAAAGACCAATTGCAGAAGGGTAAAGAGGGAGTAGAAACTAGGCTCATGTCCTGCTAACATCAGGTAGAAGTATGTGTCTGATATAAGAATGTGGACTAGACTACAATAGAGGGCCTTTGGTATTAAGTTATCTTTTTAATGAATTCACTTCCGAGTTATGTATTAAGTCATAATTAAATGTATTTATAAAAGGCAATTGAGCATTTTGGTTTTTTTTTAAAAGACATTTACTCCTTTGTACTCAAACAGAAACTGATTTTTTTTTTCCACTATGTGTGAGAATACTCCTTTCACCAATGTTCTGGTTAAATAACAGACAAATATTGCATCAAATTTAATAAACTGTTTCTCCATTTAGTCTTAAAAGTCTATTCTGATGATTTTTTTTTAATGACATGCCATAAAATTGGTGCATGTGAATGGGACAGATGAAAAGAAAGATGTTTAGAATTGAAGTAGCAGACAAAGGGAGTGACTTTTAGGTCGAATATAATCTCCAGAATGACCTGAACCTACACTTCCTCCAATGCGCTGTAGCACCTTTGGTTAGGCCTCCTTGCCTCCTAAATGTCCACTAATGCAGGCTTTCTGAAACGATGTTAATCCTTAAGCTCATGCTGATGGCTTCATCGGGACATGTCATCATCTCTGGACATGTATAGTTGTGAAACATTCGTATCAAGTAATCAGGAATGAACGGAGCCTTATGTGTAAAACTGGTGGAGAACACAAGTGCTCGTGTGTGTGCGTGCATGAGCGTATGTGTTTGGATATATGCGTTTGTGTATTTGAAGTCCTGTGCAGTGTATGTATGCTCTTATAACATTCTACATTACATTATTACTGGTCTTTGTTTTAATTGTGCAGCACTTTAACAGGTTTGAAAAGTACTGTGTACATCAACTTTATTATTTTCTGTACTTAGCTACTGGGGGGGTGCAATTGGCTTTGAGAATTACAGCTGGGCCACCAACAGGACAACACACTTGACAGTTTACTGGGCCATCCTGTTTAGTGCTTTGCACTGATGGTGAAATGGGAGGTGCCGCTGACCTCTTTGTAGGTGTGGACATGTTGGTCGTTCGGTGCGTTACTGAATTGGTTGTGCTAGCACCTATCGTTAGCAGTGCTAACACTACAGAGCAGTGCCGTTTTCTGCGCCAACCAGAGCCTGTTGCGGAGGCTCTATAGTTGTCATCTGTAATGAGCAAACACAATAGCAAAACCTTCAGTATACCACGGCTTGTCATTAAGTTTAGATTCAACAGGAGCAAGACGAGTGACAAGACAAACGGCAGAGAGAGTGAGCGAGGGGAGGAGGGGCTGTGGGCACTGCAGCAGTGTGTGCGTGTGCGTGCATGTAAACTCGGTCGGAGAGAAGCGATGGTGCGAAAGCATAGATGGCATCGTTCTATCAATACTACGGGAAATTTATATTAAAGCTTTTTCAAATTTTCAGAATCTGTATATTGAAAAATAATTTTTGGCAACACCAGTTGATATGCTTGTATGGCAAGACATACTTTGTATTTGCTTTGAAGTGTGTGCATGCAACAGATTTTTTTTTTTCTTGACCCTGTGTTCTCTCTACAACTACAGTCTGTACAAGCCTCCTGCTTGCAGAACTTATTGCCAGCTATCCTGTGGTGACAGGGTTAGACCAGGACTAGACTAAGCTTAGGGAAAGGGTCAGGGCTCAGATATGAGCGATTGTCCTCACAAGTATAGTAATCCAAATGTATATGTGTGTGTCTGTGTGTCTGTGTGTGCGTGGGGTTGGTTCATAAGAACCGGTTCAACTGCCCGTCCTGCTTTAAGAGCTACCGAACCATGCTGGACCTGGCCCAGCACCGCTGCAGCGCCGCGGCCAAAAACCAGGTTGGTGTGAGCGTGAGTGAGTGTAAGTGTGTCTGTGTGTGACGTAGAGTCAGCACACAGTTGTTTAGCTGAGAGTAAGGGCCAATTTGTACAGACATTTTAGATGTGATGGTCAGAATCAAAAACCTCATGACCTGGTTAACTGCTGAGTGTGCTGATCTGACTCTAGTGCAAAAGTTTCACAGTAAAATCATTAGTATCTGTTTGAGCGGTGCTGCTCTGGTGGCAGTCAGAGAGTGGGTCTAACTATTATAACTTACTGTAAATCTACAACTTGGGTCTTATTGTAGACTGCTATTGCTAAGGTTGGAATACTAACTAGGCAAAGATCAACATCCATTACTAATTTTGAGACGCCGTCTGATATCAAGGTGCTAACTCTACACGTAGTGTAGTCTATTACTTTTGTGTATATATGGTGGTAAAGTTTACTGTGCTTTTGGACAGAGTATGCAGTTTTTCAAATATTACATACCAATGTCTTTGATGGTCTACTGTGTTAGCAAAGGTTTGTCTACTTCAGCTTTAATGTGCCATGCTTAATTTATGTGCAAGTCAGTGTTGTACATATTCTGTTTTGTACCGGTCTCATTTACATATCTCGTTGTCTTGACAGGGAGTTTAGTCTGTAAAGTGTAAACACACCCAGTGTGAATGATAGTTTGAGCTATGAAGATGAGACCTAAGTTGTAAAACAAAATTTTCCTACAAGGCCCACAGTGGCTTCAAAGTATTCAGACCCCCCCTTTTTTTGCACACTTGGTGAACGAGGACCCATTAAACTGTATCTCCTGTATGAACTGTATATGTGTGTAGAGGTGTTCTTACCTTGTGCACAAAATAAGTGCCCACAAAAATTACTGTCAGATTCATGAGACGTGCACACCAGCCAGTTTTGTTCTCTCCACTGTGAGCATGCAAGTAAATCAGAATCCTTCTAAAATAACAGGTGAGTGTCCGTGATGCATAATGCCACACCCCCAGTTGTCTATATAAGGAAATTGATGACGAAGACTTAGGAATTGCATAGCTGCAAAACTTGTCAGGAACAGCTGATTTGTCACTCTCTTCAAACATGTTATGTCGACCTCTGAACGTGCACTCTCTTCTGCAGGCACGGGATACAATATCTTCCAGTAATGCCCAGTATGTCCCCTTAATTGGAATCATTTATACATGTATACTCTACAAATTAACCAGGTCGCTGCCAGTTAACACTGGTTACATTGTGCAGTTTCATGGCACAAGAAACTGATGGGAGTAGTTCATCATTATGGGCCAAGTTGATAAAAACATAGAGAACCAACACTGTTACATTTTAGTATGGACATATATATTTTAATATATTTACGCTCGTAAGCCAGAAGTGTGACACTGGGACTGGGTTGAATGTAGGTGATGAGAGTGAAAGGGTGTCACTTTCCTGGTTATTTAATAGGCTACGTTTGGCCAGTGCATTAGTAAATTGACAAATTAATTAATTAAATTAATCATATACACTGACTGGCCACTTTATTAGGTACAGTTTTATGCAATTCAATGCAGCATGTCTGCTTTAACATCTGTGTTTATGAAACTCAAAATGTTTCAGTTTTTGGTGAAATTGTCAAATGTATAAATTAAATGATATGTTTATTAATGAGGTCATGGTGAGGTGGTGGTGTACTGGACATTATATTTAGAGGTTTTCCTATTATTCTGACCTTATGTATGTAGCAGGGGAGGACAAAAATACAGAAGTGCATTGAAAGGCATACAACTATACAGGTGTACCTGATAAAGTGGCCAGTCAGTGTGTTTCATTAATGAGTGTGGTTTTAATATATTAAAATGTGTTTACATTTAAAACAGTCATGCCTCCATGATTTGTTCGTACAAATGGTCTGAGGCAGTCCTGTATTAGTTCACAGAGTATTAACATATTCAGACAAGAACATATCGGTAAATCCCTGATTGGTGTGTGAATTATTTGTACACACCATTTAAGCACAGGTTTGTGCACACGTGCTGTTTGTGAATGAAGCCCAGTGTGTGCAAAAAGAGAAGGGGTCTGAACACTTTGAAGTGACTGTGCTTTTAGAGCTTTTAAAGTTAAAGCAACAGCTCTGCTGTAGCTCTAAATGTTCAGGGAAAAGGTCAGTGAGAAGCTTAGGTTTAACACCGTCATCCAGGTGACTAGAGGACAGGTGGACAAGCCTCTTCGGTAGCTGAGGGTCCCCAGGTTAGAACTAGGTTCCTGTTGATGTTGGAAGCTATTCTGTATAATGATGATTTCTAGATTTGATAGATATAAATATTTGTGTGTATGTTTATGTGTGCATGTGTGTACAACTTGATCACTCCATCCCCTCATATTAATAGGATGAAAGGCAGTTAGGTTAGTGAAAGAGCTGAAAATGCATAAACTGTGCCACTGAATAAGAAGGATCTGGTTCAGTGTGGAGACAAACAGTTTATCACACTCATCTGTCACCTCGCCTCCGCTCTCGTCACAGACTCTATATGCATTACTGGCATGAATGTGGGAGCAGTGTGTGTATAGAGACACGGTTTAGTGTAAAACCTTCTTCCTCCTGTCTTTCTTGGTCCACCCCTCCTCCCATCCAGTCTGGCGGTCGTCGTTCCAATTTCAAGTCCAGCAACAGCAGCAGCAGCAGCAGAACAGTGCTAACTCCATGATGCAACCGCAGCATGGAGGACATGGCCAGCAGGAACCTCTGCCCTCTCACTGCGTGTCACCGATGTCTCAGGGAGGGCAGGGCGGCAGCGTGGCCAGCCAGTCTGTGCCTGACCCCCACCAGGTAGGCAATAAGCACTCGGCTCCCTGGAGATCGTTACTGCTTTATAGTTGTGTAGTTGCTATGAGAGCTTTGTGTTGATGTTCTGTATGTCCCAGCAGGTCCGTCCAAGCTCTGTGTCTTCCCAGAGCAGCCAGCAGAGCATGAGGAGCTCATCCTCCAACAAACACGTCTCTTCCTCCAGCGCCACCCCATCCTCCTCGTACTCTCTGCTCCAGCCCCTGGTGCCTGAGGTAAAGGAGATGAGCTCGGGATACACTAGGCTGAGCGCCAACCCCATGGTAGGAGAGAGAACCGCCACACACCCTTTGTCTCCTGTCTGCTGGCTAGCTGCCTTCTCCCTGTGTGCCTACTAACATCAAGGGAGAGGGTCTAATGTTTGAATGCTTTGTGTCTCGCAGCCAAATCTTTCCTCCTCTGGCTGCGGAGAGGAGAGAGCCACAGATATCAGTTTGATAGTGAGATAAAGAAACCGTAGCTGCTTTACCGAGGCGACGCCTGGTCAACACAGTCTGAGTTTGTTCTTAAATACTTTTGTTTTCATATAAAATGTTCTTGGCGCACTGATGGAAATATGTTTCTACCATAGGTCTTAAGGCTTTGATCCAGAGCAAACTGTTAGGATAGTGCCACCCCAACTCCCAAAAAAACATAATTGGTCACTGCTTTGGTCACTGGTCATTGACTCAGCCGGCATTGAAATGACAATGCAAACGCAAATAGACACTGCCTTGTACTGTTCTTGTGTTTTAAAAGAGAGCAGTACCACCAACATAGTGATGAGACTGTCTATACACCGACAGTCCAGCATTAGTTGACACTGGGCATCATTTTCCAGCCACTTACACTGTTTCTAGAAAGTAGTCAAGCAGAGGTCACGCTAAACTTTCTCAACATCCATCATTTTGATGGACAGTGTCACAAATATTCCATCATAATTTATTATTAACTGTCAATTTAATTTTCATTTGTAAATGATAACACATTTAATAGCATATAATTTATAGTACTTTTCATTCAATTTAATTTTCATTTTTTAATGCAGACCAAGTTTATGTGCAGCCATTTTTCATGTCAACACCACATGAAGCAGACCACTTTTTTCCACAGTGACAGAGAAGGCCACTAAAAACTGCCATTGAGCATAATCAGGAAAAAATGAGCACTGTAATTTTATAAAATTAGACAATTGCCATTAAAATATGAACAGCCCATTTACAAGAATGGTAGGGTAACTGAATTAAACTCAGCTGACAGATGCTGTGGATTTCCAGTCCATGGCTCTGCAAACCACTGGCAGCTCCCAGATAGCGAGATGCGGGTAGAATAGGTAGAATACTGTCTAAATGTGAGAAGCTGCTACCTTAATGTTAAGTACCCTGATTGTTGCTAATAATAACTAGTTGTAGCTTTTCACCTGCAATGAAATACTGCTCGGTAGGAGAGCTGGACTTCCATATAAGCAGACTGGACAGAAAGTAGAGCAGAGGAACATTGGGATAAAATAAAGATTGGATTTACACTAGCTTTAATTCATCCTTTAATTACTGCTACATAGCAGTCATCACATCACAAGGGAAGTCTGAGGATAAAGGTTGAAGTTTTTCACCAACACTCCTCATAGTGCCCAGAAAATCAAACTGTGACTAAAGCTGAGGTAAACTGCAGACCCTCTCTGGCGCTACCAAGGCCTCTGCTGGTAACTTTGTCCTGGCTCTCACACTTTCACACTAACTATTCATTCAGCTTGTGTTGCACATCTTGTTGTAATTCATGTTGTTTCATCACACAGCGAATTAGTATTGGTCAGGCCTAAAAAGTAGCTTAAAAACCTGAGTGGATGTTCATAATCTCAAAAGTAAGTGGAACTGACGTCCTTATCAACTGCTAGTTTTTGATTTAGATTGGATTCATTTTATATTAAGAATTTGTTGAACCCAGCCTGATAGAGATGCATTCAAAACTTTCAATATATATAAAAAAAATAATAATCCAGTCACATCTGGCTATACTGTATGACTCCATGAAGAAAAGATTTGCCTGCAACACAGCTTCTCTGGATTTTATTTATGTTGTAAATGTCAGTAGTTCTCCAGAAGGCCAGAGAAAATAAAAAATAAGTTGCAACGTAGAACAAATATATGAAACTGTTTCTTTATCATGCTGTGGATGCTGCCCCACACATGGTGGCCTGCTCTTGTTTTCTGCTTAAAATAAATCCACAGTATTCATGGTGGCAGGTTTTAAAAGGCATGTACGGCACTGTAATGGGATATTATTGCACATTATTCATAGAGTAGTACTGTCAGAATTGTCCAATAATTCTAGGAAAATACAACTGTGTTGCTCAGATTTGTGCAGGACTACAGATTTGTTTGCAGCAGCTAACACCACATACATACCACTGTTGCTTTTTTGCATTGCTACCCCTGGTTTTCTGTGTTCACGGCTGCCCACTCAGCTCTTCAGGTAGCTGTGTTGCACTTTCTCTGAAGTCACATTTTCCTCATACATCTGACTTTTACCAGGACGTCGGTTGGTGTTTGATCTGAAAACTCACCACTCATGCAGTTTTTTCTTTCACTCATTCTTTCCTCTCATTCCTTCTTTTCTCTAATTACTTTTTGTCCTTTTTAACCTTTTTACTCTCTCTATTCTATTTCTTTCTTTTCCCTCCCCACCTCCCCCTACAGCCAAAGCACCAGGACACTTTCTCTCTGGCCCCCCAGCAGCCCCTCACCACCATCAACCCTATTGGCCACCCCCTTCATCCGAACGGCGCACCCACACTCAAGCCTTCCCCTGTGCCACGCACCATCCATGCCATGCCCTGGGAGCAGCGCTCCCTCTACAATCAATGAGATGCCCAAGAACAGCCCCACCCCCCTCCACGTTGCGTCCACCACACACGCTTCTCCTCCTCCCAACCCCTCTGGGATCCAGCGTCAAGGATGGAGGATTTGGACGCTCCTCCGCCGCCTCACCCATCCTTTTGGAACATTGTGTTTGGGACCGGGGAAGGGCACCATTGAGAACTAGTTGAGATTGATTACAGAGTAGTTAGGTTTAAAAAAAAATGTGTTGCCTTGACCCTCATGTATGATCTATGCCATGTACTGGATATAAGTTAAAATGTCTGTCCCCTAATCTGTCGTCGCACTAAGAAGTTCTCCCTCTCCTCCTCTTCTGCTCTAGTTATGAAAATATCTATCCTTCCCATTATGAATAGTGTCTCTCCACCCCCTTTTCCATATGTTAAATGGAACAAAAGGCTATTTTTATTAAGACTGTATTCCAAACTCTGAATGATGGGGGTTCCCAGGGCACCAGGTTGTCAATGTGACAAAATTCTCCCTTCAGTCCGATTTGTTTTTGGACATAAAACCCACATTTTCTGTTCAGTGAGGCTTCTGGAAAGTAAAGGCAAAGGGGAAAGGTGAACATTTATCTCTCTCTTTTTCCCCCCTAACATACCCTTTCAGCAAGCTCCATAATGAACATTGTGTATATTGTGCGTTACAAGGTGTCATGACTATTTCAGAAAGCCCTTTCCGTTCTCGCTGACCTCTTGTTTCTAGGCACCAACAGCAAGGACCATGACAGAAGCAACCAGGCCGACTGTAGTTCTGCAGGACGTTTCAGAGATGTACACGTCAGTTTGGCTTCCCCATGTTGTCAAGACTGAAGCACTGCTGTTGAACAGGAGCTCTTCGTCACTTAACCACAATCTCCAAACTAGGACAGTTCGGTGCGGTTATAATCTTTTAATACACACCTGAAAGCTCACTTCTTCCTAAACCTAAACTGGTGACTTGTTGTTCTTGTAGTTTTAATGAGCTGGTCCCTGAGAGTCTAATCTAGATAATTAGTCCCCATCCTTTCTGTTCAAACTGACTGTTAACATGTTTGTTCCTTTCACTTCAAAGCACTTTATGAAAAGTGCTGTCTAGTTACTGTTACCGTCTCTGTCAGCCACCCCCACCTGCTACCTATAGCTGTGTCGGCTGTAAAGATGTAACATTGCCTTACATAAACCCCTCATCACAACTTAACCAGTAACACCAGCAGCAGAACTGGGCCTGGTTCATGCCCATAACGTGGCTGTATCTGAAAGCTACAGTGGCCAAAATACAGTATGTCTGCAGCTCTGGACCCACATCCACACCCTCCTTGGCTCCCGTACACCTGCCAGTGTTGCATTTTCTGTATGAATAAATAAATAAACAAACCCCATCTTGCCTGCACCTCACTCCCAGGGTGGATTTAGTAAACACCAACACAGGGTGTTTCAATAAGCAGCCAATCATGGTTGGCTGGATAAATCCAACTAAACACACATCAGTGAAATGTCTTGTAAAAAGACAGTTTGATGAGTAACAGTTGAATCATGGATCCAACCTGTAGTTCTGTTAGATTATCTTGCTAACATGGTGCTCGTTGAAATACCCGCAGGTCTACTGACATTGTATTTTCTCTTTTTAAAGTTTTCTATTTTTATTCATGATGTTTTCATTGTTGCTTTCTCTCTCCTTGTAAAGTGTCTTTGAGTATTTAGAAAAGTGCTATACAAATAAAATGTTTTATTATTATCACCATCAGTGCTGCTTTTCTCCAACCTACAGTAGAATTAGGGCTTTAATGATTATTTTCATTATTAATTGATGATCTGATTGTTTTCTTGATTTGCTCTTTGGTTAAAAAAATACTGCAGTCCAAACAAACAGTCCTCCAAAATATTGATATACTTAAACCATTAACTAACATTTTAGAATTTATTTGGTATTATTGGATGAAGATTACCAAAATGATTAAACAAAATACTTGCCATTTAATTTTCTATCAATCAAGTGACTAATCCTTGCAGCTTTTATTAGAATCAATTAATTTAGCTGGAAATATGAGTAAAATTGTGACTAGCCCTTTCCCTTGCTCATGCTTTTAATTTTTAAAATGAAACTGTTTTCTGAGAACTAAAAAGCGTGTATATTTTGCATGGTAATGAAATGTATTCTGAGCTTGACAGCTAGTCTAGGGTGATGGAAAGTCTGAACACTTGCACTTCCAAGACAACGGCACAAACATTTGATGAAAGCGCTGTGACACAGTGAAATGAGCAAGGAGGTAAGTGGACCTTGAGTGACTACCAAATATATGCTAGTTGAGTTGTGATGACACATCTGTGAACTGTGATGTGAGGTCAGTAGTGAACATAAATTGTGGATGTCACATTGCAAGTACACCAAATCCAGGGCTGAAGCAGGATATTGGAAGCTGAGGTGAGCGATCCCCTTAAGACGTGTTTGCAGACACAGCAGTGTCCACTGGGGGTTCCTGGACACACTTTGCATATGTGAAGTTGAGCATTTCTTTCACTGATGTTCAGGTTGTTACGTTTACTACCTTCCGAACTGGGAGCTACTCCCTTACATGATGGTAAACAAGCTCCACTAATGCATGATGTTTTAGACACTGCTGGATTAAAATAAAATGGGTGTCCTCAGGGCCCAGACCTACTGGGGGCCCCCAAACCTCCAGGTGCTGCTTTGTCAGTTAACTGTAAATAATTTGATATTGGGTTGTAGGCCTATGTGAAGACAGATTTGCAGGTCACCATAAGAAATGACAACCCTCCTTCACCACCCAAACTGATGTAATTCTGTCTTTGAATATTACTTGCATGTTGTGCAAAATGTCAAAAACAAATTTCAGCATTGTTCAGTATTACCCTGGTCTGTGGGACCTGTCACCAGCTGTGGCTTTATAAAAATACCGAAATAATATTCAAGATAAATGAACTGGAACACACTCCATATCTAGATGATCCAAATAATCACTTTTGAGAAATGAGCAGTAATCAGATTGGATTAAATTTTAAATAAGATTGTAAAGCCCACTGTAGCCACATCATGTCTTCTGGGTGATGTGGGTGTCTCAATTCATCTGAGCCATTGTAGATGAGCTTATGATCAAATATATTATTAGTAGTAGTAGTAGTATTAAAAATGACACATTCGTTTGTTCTATGTGTCACCCTAAAGTCTACAGGTGTCCTCTATTTAATCCCACGCTGTCAATATACTCCCTCAAAGTGTGTGCACGTGTCGGGAACGCGCATCATAATTCAATTTAAATTAGAGATGAATGAGCCGGCTCACGCGCTTTTATTGGGCCGATTGCATGCTTTGAGTTTCTCCACCGCGCGAAACTCCGGTGCGGATTACAGTGAATTAATATCCACTTATCGGTGGTCGGAGCGTTTCTTCAGTGTGGACAATGGTTAGTGATAAAAAATCGTTTGCCTTTTCGATGGCCAGGCTCGCTTTTGCCGTCTCGGGGCCTCGGTGGATCCATTCTGGATTTCAGGCCGGCTCAAAAGCGGCAGCACACCCAACTCATGCTATAAATGACTTTTGACGGCTAATGATCTATACCGAGTAGGCCCACGTTAATTAGTAACAGCGCTGTCATTTGTTATAGTCAGCCGGAAACGTCATTTATGTCAAAAACAGAATACTTTTAGCTCCTCAGCAGAACCCACGAATTAAATTAATTGAGGTAACTTACTTTTGATTTGGTGTCATCAATTTTGGTAACACAATCTATTACAACTCGATGATAACCTGTACGATATTGATTTGAAAAACGAGGTTCGTCGCTTAAAACTAAAGTTGTTATTAGTAGAATCTATAAGTTAATATATAGCCTAAATAGATATATTTTTTTCTAATATTTGCTTCAAGTAAAAACTTAGCATTTTGTTAGGACGTAACAGTTGTTTCCCCTTCCGAGGGTTTCAGTGCTGCGCCTCAGCGGGGCCTGCCGGCTGAAGGCCCACTTCCGCACCGCGCCACAGGCCCGGATGTAGTGAGCTATATCGGGCGCTTGATGGCGGTAGTGGCCCAGACTGAAAGAGAAAAGGGCTACTTTATTCTATTGTTGTACACGCTCCACCCGCAACCAAAGTAAATATGTTATAGGCATCGTTAAGGAAAGTTCAAAGCAATTTAAAAGTAAGATTTAAATCATAAACAGACAAATAATATCGACTAACGTATTGATGTAAAGTAGACTATTTAAAAGTCATTAAGTGACCAATTAATTTGTCAAAAGTACTCTACAAGGTGGAAAGTTGATTGTTTAGGCCTTAGCAATGTTAGGGGTTTGATTCTTCCTCGCTTGTTTCTCCCCACGAACAGGCTGTTTTCTGTTTTTACTTTCTGTATATTTCTGAAAAAAAAAGAAAACTGTGCCATTGCCTAAGTAGGTTTTACAACAATTTTCACAAGAAGAAAAACTGACATTTTGTGTATATAACCAAATGAAAGCTTCTTTTGTTGTTTATGAAATTGTTTTCCATCTGTTGTTGTGGTTGTAACCAGTCATGTCTGAATTCGATCTTAATTTTCTGCCCCTGTTTAGTGCAAATAGAAAAGGGGCATTTTGATGAATAGAGTGCACGTTTTGTCCCTGTCATCATGGAGTTTGTTTTTGTGTTTCTCCGAGAGGAACACCCTCCCCCCACCATCTCTCCATTTTGTGCTTTGTGGAAGCAGCACGAGTCTGCTCGCGCTCCGCCTCACGAGGAACATTGGACCATCATTTTAGATCGAGCTCGTGGTCGGTGAGTCCAATTCACAAATAGTTAAACTCTCTCAAAAGATTTTTTTTTTAATTCGTTCCTCCGTGATTAAACCCGCGGTTTGACCGGGACCCGACCTGCACGAGGGACCCGGATCTTCGTTAAATGAACTGGATTCAAACTGTGGAAACCAACACCGAAATGGAGCCTGGCACAGTATTTAAACGGTAGCTTGTCAGCAGGGCTCCACGCGTTATGTGCAACATTTTTAATATTTTACTC